GGGTCATTCAAGTGATAACTTGTAATGAGGTGGTTAAATAAACAGTGTGGTATAAGAACATACATGGAGGCAGAGCTATCCTGCTTAGTGCTTATCAAGGAGTAGACTCATGGTGTACTTCTACCTCAGTCCAGAGGCAGACATACAGGTAGCAACAGCCAAACCCTACAAAAGACACCAATGAGCACACAAGTGTAACATCAACTCCAGAACAAAGTTGAAGTGATAGCAGGAACACAGAAGCAGCAGAAACACAGAGCAATTACAGATGATAGGACAGGGAAGAAGGGTTAGATTAGCTGCAGTGAAGGAACCTGAAGCTCAGAGGTGAGCTGAGAGGAGAGACAAGGCTTGTCTGCATATATGATGGGCCAAGCTATGAGGTTTTAACAGGATGAAGTTCAACTGTCACCAAAAATCAATGGAGAACATAGTGTTAACACTGTAGCAAAGGAACATATTAAAAGACTTGTTTGGTTGCAAAGTCAGGGTGGAGTAAAACTTGAAGGCTGGGAGAGCAGTTAGGAACTCTGTCTGCCTGTCTCTCTCTCTGCCTCTGTGTGTGTATGGGGGGGGGGGCTGCGCTTAAAGGGACTTCACTGTCAGAGCATCTTTCTTAACATGGGTGAAGTGGCAGAGAGTCAATGTAACAGAAAAGGCAGGGCCACAACCCCTAGAAATCCAAAGTGTGGGGATGTTCAGGGGGCAGAGGAAACAACACAGGAGGCCAAGAAGATGCAAGCCAGGGGCAGGAAGCCCAGGACAAAACGGCATAGCTGCTGTCATTGGGTCTGAAGAAGGAACTGATAAAATATCACATGCCCAAGGTCATCTGAAAGATCCAAAAGTTTCTGTTGTGTTGGCAGTTAAAAGTCAGATTCAGACAACTGGCAACCATGGTTGAACATGGAGTTGTCCAGTTTACTGGCACTGGAGACACAGCAAAGAAGCTGCAGATAGCTGGAAACAACTGGAGAGAGGCTGCTTTGCATTCCATGTAGAAAAAAAAAAAAATATCTGGCTTCTATGTGGGCCTCAGATTCTGCGGTGCAATGCTGATTTTCATAGCTATTGATTTGAAGACTTTTTTTCCCCACTTGGATCAACCTAATGCAAGATTTCTTCTCCCACATATCCTTCACATACTTCATAAAGCTATTTTACCTTGATTCATGTGGCTAAAATCCACCTCGAGAATTAGATGTGAAAATCAAATACTTCTTGAAAATTGGGACACCTAATTTAAGATCTAGACTTTTCTCTTTTTTACCTTTCGAAACAGTGTGTCTCTGTATTGCTTTGGAGATGTCCTGGAACTAGCTCTGTAGCCCAGGCTGGCCTTGAACTCACAGAGATCTGCCTGGGAGTGCTGGAATTAAAGGCGTGCGCCACCAATGCCCCGCAAGATCCAGGCATTTTTAAGGCCTGTTACAGAAATGCCACTTGGTGAGACTGCCTGCTGCTATGTTCCAGTCTCTAGAGAACTGTCCGACAGCCCTGTGGCCGGAAGACCCAAGACAGCTGGGACTTGCAGTTACCCAGCTGCCTGGTTTTGGCTGAATACAAAGTCATCTAGCAAATGGGACTGTAATCTTCATACAAAGAGGTTAAAAAAGAGAATCGGTGTTGGCCAGAGTCGTGTGTGTGTGTGTGTGTGTGTGTGTGTGTGTGTGTGTGTGTGTTTGTGTTTTAATGAGACGGTCTCGCTCTGTAGTTCTGACTCAGCCTCCTGGGTGCTGGGATTACATTCGTACCCCACCCCGCCCAGCTTCAACACCCTTCTAAAAGGAACAGGTTTGGACCTGTGATTGACTGACTTGCAGATACCACAGAACGAATAAGAGAGGAACTGCTGATCTGAAAGAAGGCGAGCCTGAGAGCTCAACTTGCTCACTACAGCTCTCTCCAGGAGGAAGAAATGGAAACGAGCCACTTTCCGATAGCTCCGCTTTCAGGGGCTTCCCACCGCCACATCGCCGCCCTCGGGGCGTCCCCGAGCTCCGCCGCTCGTGGCCGCGCCTCCTCGGAGAAGCACCCACGCTCGGGACCCAACGCGGCCGCGCTCCCGCAGGCCAGCCCCCGGCCCGCCCTTCGCCACCCGGCATCCAATCCCAGCGCCGCGCACGTGACGAGCGCTGCCTGCGATGACCTCATCCCTGGTGTGGGATGACGTCAAATTCAAGATGGATGGAATCACGGCGGCGGCGGCGGCTGCGGGTTGCGCGAGCCGAGTGTGAGAGGAGAGGGACCCGGCGCCTGCCCCGGGGCTGAAGAGCGGTGAGTAACCGTCACTTCCCGCGCCCTAGGAGGACGTCGGGCTCTGTCGGGGGCTACGGCCTCCCAGCAAAACGCGGCCTTTCCTGACGTAACTCTGAGGTGATTTCTCTCCTTTTTTCCTCCACCAGTGGGTTGCGGGCGTCGGGCCCTTCTACGCGTGCGCGGGGCCGCGGGCCTCACCGAGCATGCTCAGACTCCCACGTAGCCGAGTGTGCCTTTACAGTGCGCATGCTCTGTGCCCGCACTTGGCCTCGCCCTCGCTCCTGCGCATGCTCAGCCTCCGGGCCGCTGAGCTACTCACCCTGACCGGGTGGGTAGCCTGTGTAGCCAGGGAGTGGAGTCCGGGCGCGCGCCCCCACAAAACCGTTGAGACACCGCAGCGGGCAAGGGTGTACACTCCGGGCCCTGCGGCGCGCGCGCGAGGCCGGGGAACTGGGCGGCACCCCGCGCCTGCAGCGGCGGAGCGTGACAGCCTGTTGGTCAGCCCCTCCGCGGACACTTCCTGGGCCCGTGCAGACCCTGTCCTCCCTCCCCCAAAGACCCTACTCGCCCAGGGACATAGCGCAGGAGACCTCCCTGCAGTCCACACGTTGGCTGGCCTTCCATCTCCCAGGCCTGGTTATCAGGAGCACCTTGAGTGCCCCTCTGAAGAGACCGCACCTTGTAATCAAAGAACCGTGAGGCCCTGGGTACTGGAGAACCGCACACTGCAGCACTTTGCAGGGGACCTTAGATAGATGCTCCTTGAGGTTGCCCGACACTGGGATGCTGTTGAGGGACACTGAGCAGCATCTGAAGCCCGGAATTTTTGTGTTGGTGCATGATCTCCAATCACCTCTATGTCCTCGGACATCTGTGTTACAGCATAGTCCGGTGAATGCTCATCAGCATGACCCTGAGTCATGAGTTCCTGGATTTGTTTCATGATCCTCCCACCTTTTTTAAGAGGGCGAAAAATAGGTTAATAATCTATGTTAGCATTTCCACCAAAAACCCTCCTTCACATCTGGTAATTAATCATTACCCTTAATTTTACCCCTAAATATTGACTTTAAAGGAGAAATTTGGCTTACTTAAAAGTGACTAATTCAGCCTATGCACTTAACAGCATATCGTTTTTATTTAGTAAAAGTATACGGAGTGTCATTTTGAGGAAATAGATATTAATCAATAGAAGCTCTCCCTCAAGGAATTGACAGTATTATGTAGTGGGGGAAATTGGGTATGGAAACACTAAAAGCAACAAAAGAGTTAATATATAGGTCTCCAGACAAGGAGATGACTAGAGAAGCCATTTTAATTGTCCCTGTACTAGAGATGATTGAAGGCTGGCTTTACAGGTATCAGAGAGTGGCCAAAGGGCAAAGGAAAGCGAATCACTTTCTGCCTGAGGGGATCTGTCTGCCATCACCTCAACCTAAGGAGGCCCAGTGTTATGAAGACAAGCAGGTGTGAGAGTGTGGACTGTGATGGATCTGTTCAGAAGGCAGCCAAGGGCTGGGACCTCAAGTTTGAGCAGAAGAGATGCAGATGAAGTCATAGTCCAATTGTTAGTACAGATACAAAAGCTCAGAAAAAGCTGAGGAAATGCCCTGGATTGGGCTCTACAGGGCTCTGAAGAGATAAAGGTGAGCAAGTCTAGTGAGTTTTCTATGCATGACAGATACCTGCCAAGCGTTGTTCTAGGAATTCACAGATGAAAACAAGAGCTTTTGGTGGGGGAAGCATGTGGGATGTTCTGAGGGATCCACATACAAAAGCTGATGCATTGAAATTACTATGGGGTTATTACAGAGGGATGCAGTGTTGCTGTTGGCAAATTGCAAAAGCTTTATAGTCCCAGATAAATCTTTCTATACAAAGTGGCCAAGTAAAGGAGAGGTAGAAGATACTTTAGGTTTCAGAAACTGGAAATGCTGGTTTGTGGGTTACATGGTAAGTAGTGCCACCCAGGTGTGGTACAGAGGTGAATTGACATGTCAGAGAAGTCTGTGCTAGTCTGTAGTTTGGGTTTCTAGGAAGTAATAAATTAAAAAGTTAAACTATAGTCTAAACAGGGCAGTAAAGTGGCCAACTTCATTTAGAGAAAGCAATCAAAGAGCTTAATTTGTAATCCTTAATTCAACTGGAGTAGAAGGAGGTAGGAAATAATAACAAATTTATTGTGTAGGATTCCACGTTGGACATCATGAGATGTGTCAGATGTAATGTATTGAACCTTAAAGAGCTTGTAGTCTTGGTGGAACACACAGCCAGCTAGCATTGACAGTGACTTAACACAGTGTGGTTGTGTGTCTGCTCTGTGTGGCAAAGGAATTGACAGGAGTCGTTTTTTTGGGGTTTTTTTTTTTTTTTTTTTTTTTTTTTTGACAAGGGCTTGCAGCCCATGTTGGCCTTCGACTCATAATCCTCCTACTTCAGCCTCCCAAGTGCTGGCATTGTAGACATTTGCCACACACTGTACTTTGTTTACTCGTTCTAAGCTTAAGAACTGTGTTTATTGGCTTGTTTTTATTTAATATACAGACCCAGTGACCTAAATAACACATACTTACTTTCTCACAGTTACAGAAGCTAGAAATTGGAGATAAAGGTGTTATTGGCAGGCCAGGTCTCTCCTGGGGTCTCTCCCCTTGGCTTGTAGACAACATCTTATGTCTTCATAGGATCTTCCCTCCATGTTTGTCTCAGTTCTAATTCTTTGTTTAAAGATAAAATTTTATTGAACTAAAGCACAGTTTAATTTAATTAGCTGTGTAAAGACCGCAGCACCAAATAAGATTGCCTTTTGAGGTGCAGAGTTTAGGACTTCAATATACAAACTAGTGATGTTGGCTGGGAATGTTCAGCCTTAAAATATTCCCAAAGGATTAGAATTTGAGCTGATTGGAGAAGGAGTTTGGCACAATCTAGAATGGTTCCGGTTGAGTGGTGGAGGAGGTCAGGTGGGCAGATTGTATCTCTGGGACAGAGACAGGGAAAAGCCACAGTAGGTAACTAAAGGATTTTAAAAGTAGTCTGAATATAGATGACTATAGAGGCTTTTTATTAAAGATTTTGTATTTTAGCCTGTTTTAAGTAGGACAAAGGAGACTATAACATTATTCTGTCTTTTCATTTTAATGAAATATTACATCAAGACAGTTCCTGAGCTCCTTCTGCACTTCTGAGGACTACACCAGCCACCACACGTCTCTCTCCATCAAGACATTTAGCACATTAAAATTGACTTTTGGGATTTCCTTATCTCTAGACAATGGGGTTTTATTTGTCTTGATACCCATATGTTCATATACATTTAACCATGCCTTGCACATGGAGAGAGCCAGTGAGCAAGCTGCATTTGTGGAAGAGATTATTGAAAGCCTTGCTTGAGGAATCTAGCATATGAAGGATGAACATGAAAGGCAGGACAGGAGCAGGCAGCATGCAGAAATACACCAGAATAGAAACTGACTGGCTGAAAAGGAAAACCTTGGACCATGAAGGACAAAGCCAGACCACTTGCAGGAATGCACATTGAATTTTCAGACCACACTGAGATCAATTAGTCAGTTCCATTCAGCTATTGCCTTTGTCTTGTCATGAACCATAGTCTAGGGAGAAAGTGTCTACTTGGCCTGGCATTTGCACTTGCTAGGCAAAGTGTTCCCCCAAAGCAACACAGAAGGTCTCTGCAAAAGGAGTCATAGCTGCTGGGTGGCCAGGACAGACCAGCAGAAGCTGCTTGTCTGCAGTATAGCTAAGAGTCTAAACTGTGTTACAGTGGAGCCATCCTCCTGGCTGAGACTGACAATCTGCCCTTCAACCAAATTTGAACTAGAGAGAGGGAGGCTGAAATGTATGAAGTGGAAAACAGTAACTTGACACCATGAAGGATCCCCTAAGCAAGTCTGGCTTTGAAACCTGAGGCACTTCAGATAATTTGTGGATGTCTGCAATGTTACCAGGTGAGTGATGATAAAACTGAAGCTCAGAGCCAACTTCCTTTCACCTGTGGCGAGAGAGGGCCGAATCCAGAAGTGAGGGTTCAGGGATCAGCTGTGTGTATGTAGTCAAGTGTTGGATGTTTACCTGTGTATCCCTAGAGATCAGAATCATGTTAGGTTTTGTAAGCACTCAACCATCATTGCAAAGGGGCAGTGTTCCCAGGACTTAGCCTTAGGTTGGTAAAGGGACATTTCATTTCCCACAGTGCTGTTAGTGTGAGTTTTTGTAATAGTCCCAGAGCCTAGCTCATTTGTAATGATTTTTAGCTATGGAACCAGTCTCTTAAATTGAAATAGGGGAAATTGTTTTGAATCCTATCCATCTCCTCACCCTCTTTTTTGTAGTACCCGTTGAGTTTCTGACTGTGTACTTCCCTTTCTTATGCATCTGTCCCCAGAATACTCTGTTCCAAAATTACCTACCTTCCTTAAAACCCAAAGTTCTCATTCCGTGTAATGTAAGAATGGAAATACTTGGGTTGAATTAATTTATGTTAAGATACAGATGTCTCACCTCATCATCTAGTGTAGCAGAGGCATTTGTGTGATGGCATGAAGTAATTTCATTGAGTCTAGCTGTCAGGGGCTTTAGGGTCCTTCTGGAGAGTTGACTGGAGGACAGGGCAAGCTTCAAAATATTTTAAGCCTGGGCCAATCAGATAACATTCTTGGAAGTTCTGAAGCTTTGACTTTAATTTTAGTATCAAATGAGTCCCAGGTCTTCCCTGATGCCCCACCAGTCACTCATCTGGCCACTCACATTCTGGCCACACTGATAGCCTCCTGACATGAGTGTTCTTCATATTCTGTACCTTCTTTATCACATTGTTGTCTGCCCAGTCACAGGAATGTGAGATGCAGTTGAACAGGAATCCAGCCAGCGAGTTCATCTCCCATCATCAGCACCTCTTGTGATGCACAGTGTACAGCGGGCTCACAAACACTCGGGAGAGGAAGAGAGAAGGAAGATGTGTACTTGCCAGGTGGGATTTGCTCTGCAGACTGGACCTTTCAAAGACTGCTTTGTTTATGCCTCATGAGATTTCTATGTGTTATTAGTAGAGCTAACATTGAACAGGGAAGGATACTACTGCTCAGAAAAGAAGAGCAGTACTGATAATATTGCATTCCTGACAGATGGCAGTAGACCAAAGACTTCTCCATGGATAGCTAGCTACCATGAGCTTTTACTGTAATAATTCTCTCCATTCTACCCACTTTGAATCTCCAGGAAACAACGTTAACTAGAACCATCTCAGGCAGTTTGGAAGATCCAAGTGATGGGGAGGTCAGCTTGTCTCAGAATCTGGTTTTCTAGGGGAGTTTGTCTCAGCTGTTTCTGCTCTTCAATGAGCCTTTTCTTCCATACTTGAGCACCTTTCAGGTTTTTCTGCCATGGTTAAGTGATGGGATTTCTGCATTAATGAGTGGAGATGAACAGACCAAGACAGTAATAGCTGTGAGGTTTGTACATGAGATTTGTTTCTGCTATGAATCTTAGTTAACACATGCAGGAAAAAGAGTCTGCTATACCTTAACATTAATTGAGAAAGTACACATAACAGCACAACTGCTGTTCTGAGGACTAAGCAGCCGAGATGTCAACAGGTCAGGTCCAGATGGTTCATCTGCACTTTCCCAGCCATAGTGTGTTGGATTGGCAGGCAACACTCAGAAGCTCTGTTTTCCCCTTTGCTTGCTCTCTCAAGACAGTATTTATACTTTAGTTGCTAAACTCAGTAAGCAGTTAACACCTGTTATAATCAAAATGTAAGAATTCAAATATTCCTTGTTTTCAGGTAGACCAGGATTGGGATCATTGCTTTCAAGTCCTTATAATTGAATTAAAGTGTAAAAGCAACCCATAAATGAAGGGGAATCTTGGCCTTCTCCTTAGTCTCTCTAGAGACTATAAGAACAGGTGTCTTCATTTTGGTTCCCAGAGAGAGCCCTTTCATCTAGATCAGCATCATGACAAGTCCCAGAATGACTTTTGTTCTCTTTGTTTATAGTGCTGCACACACTGCCCCTGTCCCTTTTTGGGTCACCTTACCAATCTTGCCTGTCTCTTCCCCATGCTTTGATCCATCATCTGATTTTCTCTCGCCTGGATCTGGTGTCTGTCCCCTATACTACATCTCCTATGATATCCATAGACATTTCTCTGTACATGCATAATGCATAATGTCAACACATTGCTGTGTGCTATTCCTATGCAAGACTAAATTCCAGGAGCTAAACCATGCTTGTCTTTTTACATCCCCTATTGTTAGTAGAATTGTAGCACATTCTATGTGGTGCTAGCTTGCACCTATGGTTTTAGGTTGTTTTGGTGTCTTGGTTTTTTGCTCAAAAGTAGAGCCTAAACAATGTTATATAATAGATATGGGCAGAGATTCCAGGGAGCTCAGAAAAGCAAATAGAAAGATGCAAAGGCAAGATTGATAAGTTGGCATTCACCTGTAGAGTGTCAGAACTGAATCCCATAGAAGAGGAGAGGCAGGGAGGGAAGCAGCCTGATTTCTCTGCCAAATTCATCTCAAAAAAGGCCATGCTTCTCCCAGTCCTGGCAGGATCCTTTATTCTTCCCATTGCTCTGTAGTTATTCCATTAGAAAATCTAGTGGCTCTCCCTTTACATACAATACCAGCCCCTTTCAAGCGATCATGGCAGTATATGTCTCCTATGTCCTTTTCTTGTCATCTGCTGTCTAAAAGAAAGCTAGAAATGTTATAATGAAGACATAACACAGGCTTTTCCCCTGTCGTCCTCTAGTGGCCCTCCATTTTCTACATAGTGAAATCCCTTCCCGGCCACCTAGCTTTACACTTGGACTCCTGAGATGATATTGTCCATGACTCCCAGCTCGTTTGGCTCCAGTTCTACTTGACCTTGGTTCTTGCCTCTGTTATGTTGTCTTTACTTCATAATCCCAGGCTCATGCCCTGCTCTATTGAGTCTTCTCAAATGTACTTCCATGACTGATTGGATGGATGGATGGATGGATGGATGGATGGATGGATGGATGGATGGATGGATGGATGGTAGGCACTGAGTGATGTTATAATCATCCCATCTGCCCCTCACCAGCATTATGTGGAAACTGTTACTATCCCTGTTTGCAGTACAGGGGACAGACTGGGACTTAGAGTGATTGACTCGCTCAAAAAACAGGTGACTCTGACCTCCCAGAAAAAATTTCTTTTACAACTCAACTGGATGCACATTTGCACACAGGGCATATGTCTGTCTAACTGAAAATGGTTCCAAAGCCCTTGCTGTATTTAGTACTTTCAGACATTTTCTCTCTTAGTGCTTTCTCTGTTCTTAATTGCTTGTTTCAAACCATTAATATGAGTAAAGAAAACAACAAAAACAAAAAAAACCTGACAGATACCTGCCCTGTGGACAGACCCAACTTTTGCTTCTTGTCTGCTGTTTCTGTTGTGTCAACAATCTTAAGCCTCAGTGCTACAGACTGCTGGGGCATGGCTGAGTCAGTCTTGTGGCAATCTAAGCTTAATGCTTTTCTGCTGACCCCTGTAAAAAATGAGAAGTATCTTTACACAAATGTGTGATTCTTACAGTGAACTAGTAGTGAGGGGTAAATGGAAATGGCTGTCAGAAGAAAAGGATCTCATCTAAACTCCTTGTTACAAGTAAATGAGCAGTTAAAGAAAACCAGGCAGGAATGAAGGGAAACCTGGTGGGTGCTAGATTCATCACTAGTGGCAAAGCCACACCCCTGTCTGTAGTGTGCATTCTGTTATCTCTACAAACTGAAGAGCCTAGTCTCCAAGTGACAGCCAGTAAAGGCTGACCCTGGAAAGCTGGAAGCTGGGGACTTGTTGACTTACATCTGGAGCTGGGTGTGGTTTTTGGCAGCATTCCCTCTAGAACAAGCCTGTCAAAGATGTATCTAGTCACCATGGATACATTCTAATCGTAAATAATCTTTCTGTGTGTCTCTATATTTCTTACACATACACATACATTCTCTCTCTCTCTCTCTCTCTCTCTCTCTCTCTCTCTGTGTGTGTGTGTGTGTGTGTGTGTGTGTGTGTGTGTGCCTCTTTCCCCCAACCCCCATGGTGCTGGTAATGAGATTCAGGTTTTCACATGTGCTAGGAAAATACTCTACCACTAAGCTACATCACTCCCAGCTCCATGACAATACTTTTAGTAAGGATCATTGATATAGAACTAGACCACAGATAGGAGGTGCTCATAGAGCAGAGCCCACACATCATGTCCCATGAGAAACCTACTTTTTCCTAGAGTACCAGGAAGGGAATAGTAATCTGGTTAAACCTATTCTTGCAGTACTGATAGCTGTACATTTATTGAGTATTTGCTGTAGATGTTTGCACATCTGATCTTTGTCACACACTTGCAAGAGGGCATAGTTTTTACCCTGCTTCACACACAGACCTGGGTACAGAGGTCATCAGCTCACAGGATAGAAGCTAGCACTTCAGCCAAGATTCTGGCCCCAAAACTCACACTCATCCACCAAGTTGCCTTCTCTTACCTTCAGGTTTGAACAGAATTTCAATGACCCTTCAGTTCAAATTCCTTAGTCAACTTTATAGCTAGGCTATTCTCTATGATGTTTGTGTGTCAAAAATGATAGCTAATAAGAAAATAGCGTTTAAAAAGCACAAGAAAAATCATAAGAAAGAAAGCAACCTTTTAATTCTCTAATGCTTCTAACCTTCATTAAACACTTTGACCTATGAATTACAAGTAATTATTCCCTTTCCAAGTTCATTTTAAAAGTCCACAATCCACTATTAATTGTTAGCAGCCATGTTGCATTTAAATATATATCTTTTAAAACAAAATATATAATAGTAATAAAACTAAGGTAGAAATATAAACTTGAGGAATTTTGACTTTTTAAATGTAACCAAGCATCAGATGGGTATGGATCTTAAATGTTAAACCTCATTTTCAAGTGTCACCTCTGTGTATACCTGTTAAGTTACAGCAGGCATTTGGTGGAATACAAATGTTGATGGTCTCACCTGTCTTCCAGATAAATTGCAGGATGGAGGGACTGCTGCATTACATCAACCCAGCACATGCCATCTCTCTGCTGAGTGCCCTCAATGAGGAGCGCCTCAAGGGACAGCTGTGCGATGTACTCCTGATTGTTGGGGACCAGAAGTTTCGAGCTCATAAGAACGTCTTGGCTGCCAGCAGTGAGTACTTCCAGAGTTTATTCACGAATAAGGAGAACGAGGCACAGACTGTCTTTCAGCTGGACTTCTGTGAGCCTGATGCTTTTGACAACGTTCTGAACTACATTTACTCTTCCTCCCTTTTTGTGGAGAAGGGCAGCCTTGCTGCTGTGCAGGAGCTGGGGTATAGCCTTGGTATCTCCTTCTTGACCAACATTGTTGCCAAAGCCCCTCAGGCTCCTTTTCCAGCCTGTCCCAACAGGAAAAGAGTGTCGGTGGAAGATGATGAGACCAGCTCTCAGAAGCGAAGTGTCATCGTTTGTCAGGGCAGAAGCGAAGTGCCAGGGAAAGCCAGTGGTCCGGCCGTGCAGGACCTGAGCCATGCTACCTTGGTCTCGCCAAGTGGTACACTCAAGACCAGCACCAATAAGCCACCTATGGCCAAGCCACCAGAACAGCTTCACAGTCTGTCTTTAACTGAAAAGAGTTGGCCAAAGGATAGTGCTTCGGTATATGCAAAGTCTCTGGAACAGCCTGGGGCTTTGGATGATCCTAACAGGGGCAGTTTGGTTAAGAGAAATGCAGTCCTACCCCCAAAGCCTTCACAAGACAGGGAGGCCATGGACGATAAGCCAGGGGTAAGCAGCCAGCTACCCAAGGGGAAAGCTATAGAACTGGCTCTGAAGAGACCACGGCCACCTGTTCTGTCTCTCCGTAGCTCATCAGAGACTCCATATCTCTTAAAAGAAACTAGCAAAGGAGGCAGTCAGGGGGAGGATAGGAACTTGCTCTACTACTCTAAGCTAGGCCTGGTGGTTCCATCCAGTGGGGCTGCTTCTGCAAATCAGAGCATTGACAGAAGTGGCCCATTAGTGAAAAGCCTCCTCAGGCGGTCACTGTCTATGGACAGCCAGGTTCCTGTCTACTCCCCCTCCATAGATTTGAAGTCATCCCAGGGATCATCCACAACAGCAAATGAGGCATCAGGCAGTGTGTTCTGTGCAGTGTCTCAGAAGTCATCTTTAAAAGATGGCAGTGAAAAAAAATCCCTGGATGACAGGCCTCAAGTGCTACAGCCTCATCGCCTCAGGTCCTTTAGTGCTTCACAGTCGACAGACAGGGAGGGGACCTCCCCTGTGACTGAGGTGCGCATTAAGACTGAGCCTAGCAGCCCTCTTTCGGACCCCTCAGACATCATCCGGGTCACCGTGGGAGATGCAGCAACAACTACGAGAGATCTGCCCCTCAAAATAGAGGAAGACCAGAGGGACATAAGCAGACTCCCAGCAAAGAGAAGGTTCCAGGCAGACAGAAGGTCACCTTTGAAGAAGGCAAGGGCAAATGAGCTTGGGCCTTCTGTCTCAGAAGAGAACTGTGAGGAGGGCAGGAGCCCTCCTTCCCTTGACAGCAACTTCCCAGATTCTGAATTAAACAGAGAGGAGTTTGGTGAGTTGGAGGGGACGAGAACAAACAAAAAGTTTAAATGCAAACATTGCCTTAAGATTTTTAGATCAACCGCGGGTCTTCACCGCCATGTTAACATGTACCATAACCCAGAGAAGCCTTACGCTTGTGACATCTGTCACAAGAGGTTTCATACCAACTTCAAAGTGTGGACACACTGTCAGACCCAACACGGCATAGTGAAGAACCCATCGCCAGCCTCTAGTTCCCATGCAGTTTTGGATGAGAAATTCCAAAGAAAACTGATTGACATAGTGAGAGAGAGGGAAATTAAGAAGGCCCTGATCATTAAGCTGAGGCGCAGCAAGCCTGGCTTCCAGGGACAGAGTAGCTCCCCAGCACAGCAAGTCATCAAGAGGAACTTGCGCTCCCGAGCCAAAGGGGCCTACATTTGTGCCTACTGTGGCAAGGCATACCGCTTTCTCTCTCAGTTTAAGCAGCACATAAAGATGCACCCGGGAGAGAGGCCCCTCGGAGTGAGCAGAGCTGCTAAGCCGAAAGAGCGGGCTCTGGCACGCGCGGTAGAGAGCAAGGAGGTTTATCCGTGCCGCCTCTGTAATGCTAAGCTCTCTTCTCTTCTAGAGCAAGGCAACCACGAGCGCTTGTGCCGGAACGCCACCGTTTGTCCTTACTGCAGCCTCAGGTTCTTCTCCCCCGCGCTGAAGCAGGAGCATGAGGACAGGTGTGAGTACAAAAAGCTGACCTGCCTGGAGTGCATGCGCACCTTCAAGTCTTCCTTCAGCATCTGGCGGCACCAGGTGGAAGTGCATAACCAGAACAACATGGCTTCAGCAGAGAACATCTCCCTGCCCACCCTGGACCATAACGGTGAAGTGGCAGCTGCTTCCAGGCCTCAGGCTGAGCCTAGCAAGGTAAACCACATGGTTGCTCCAAAAGAGGACACAGTATTTAGTGACTCTTCAGAGCAAGTGAACTTCGATTCTGAGGATTCCTCCTGCCTCCCTGAAGACTTGAGTCTTTCAAAGCAACTGAAAGTCCAAGTCAAAGAGGAGCCTGTGGAGGAGGCTGAGGAGGAGGCTCCTGAGGCCAGTGCAGCTCCCAGGGAGGCTGGTCCCAGCAAGGAGGCTGGTCTGTGGCCCTGCGAGAAATGTGGAAAGATGTTCACGGCACACAAGCAGCTGGAGCGACATCAGGAGCTGCTGTGTTCCGTGAAGCCCTTCATCTGCCATGTGTGCCATAAAGCCTTCCGTACCAACTTCCGGCTCTGGAGTCATTTCCAGTCCCACATGTCTCAGGCCACAGAGGAGTCTTCACAGAAAGAGGCCGAGGTGTGTCCTGTGCCCACAAATTCCCCCTCACCACCACCTCTGCCACCTCCACCACCCTTGCCCAAGATCCAGCCCCTGGAGCCCGACAGCCCCACAGGCCTTCCTGAGAATCCAACCCCAGCCACAGAGAAGCTGTTTGCACCCCAGGAATCAGATACCCTCTTCTACCATGCTCCTCCCCTTTCAGCAATCACATTCAAAAGACAGTTCATGTGCAAGCTCTGCCATAGGACATTCAAGACGGCCTTCAGTCTTTGGAGTCACGAGCAGACACACAATTAAATGACCTACCCCTCTCACCTGTCACAAAACAGCAGGCCCTTGTCTTGTGAACTGTGTCCTAAGACAACATTTTTTTTAAAAAAATAAAGATTAGAAATTCTTATGTTTGAATTTTAGGTTTGAGATAAGTTGATATTGGCTAGGAATGTCCTTCCATCTTCAAAAACAAACTCGGAAATATTGTAGTTCTGGACCTCAACCAGCAGGGGTTTGATTTTGTTACTGTTGAAGTTGAGTTAATGTTGGTGAATTGCATGGTTCCTCGTTCCAAGGCGTCACTATAATTACTTGATTGAGGTTTTTGTTTTCTGGGTAGTGGGATATTAGAGTATTGTTGGGTTTTTGGTTTTGGGTTTTTTAAATTTATTATTATTTCAGACATCTAAGTTTGAGGTAACCCTTAGCCATGTTTGTAAGGCCAAAAACATGAGGAAGAAAGGGAGTCATTTGCAGTATTGAGTCACATTTTAGAATATCTTAGCAATAAGAAAAAACAAACCCCAACTTTAATAAATTGTCCTGACACTTGATAAGACAAATATTTGGTATTTTGTGGTCCTATGAAACTTTCTTTTTGTATGAAAATTGTGAGAATTTAAATTAGTAATAGTCACACTTAGATTTTTTTAATAAAATAACAAACTATCAATCACGTCATATAATCAGTGATGGCCATGTGCTAAGGAAGACAGAGAAATGGAAACATGATTGTGGAGTGCTCAACAGTCAGCAGCAACAGATTAGTTATGAAAGCCACTGATTAGTTGTGTATGCCTTCTGCATCATAGCAGCTTTTAACTGGCACTTTAGAGCTGACAGTGTTTGGTCTCTGCCAGCTTGAAACTCAGGTGTCATTGGGATAAGCAGTGCTAGCACGAGGTTAGCAGAGTACAGCTTCACCACATCCCAGACCATCATTTCTTCTAGGGGCTTCAGAGACTGGAGGAAGTGTCATGTTGCAGCTTTCATGCGCTTTCCAAGAACTGTATGCACAACATACACATTTCTGTCTGTCTTATGTGAGGACTTCTAAGGTGATGCTGAAGTGGATAGCATGAAAGTGTCACTATCTGACATGCAAATGTGTATTAAAGCACTAGCAAAGGTCCAAAATTAGTTTTTGCAACTTGATTTGGTATTAGAGTTTGGGATTCTTTTTTTTTTTTTTTTTCTGTTACATGTAGGTTGTAAATAAAAGCCTCTACATAGGCAATATCCAAAGTTCAGTGGAGTATTTCAATAGGCAAAATTTTGATTTCACTCCCCCGAGGGAGGGTCACACCTGGAAAGGAAATTAGGGGAGCACAAACTCCCTATTTACTTTTGTTGCAATCTGTTTTCTTCACATTTTCAGGGTGTTCTCTAGCAGAGATACTACCCATCTGCTCACCAACAGTCTGCACCCATGGTAGCAAAGGCAGTCTTTATATTAAAGCAAAGAGTTTTATAAATTACTAGTTGACTTTGTAATTATAGAAGCTATATGTGGAATTTGGACCTTTATTCTTTCACTTTAAAAGGCTATTGAAAATCCATATATATGTCTACGTTTCCTATTTTGTTCCTTAAATTTTCAGAGAAGGGAAATAAAATTGGGTTGCAGCTACAGATTCTTGCCATCTGCTTTTTTGAACTATGCATTTAGATATGAACTAAAAGTGTCCACCTTTTAATGAATGAAGCTAGTGCCAGGCTAGGTAGCTGTCCACTGAACTCATTCCCTGTGGTGAGTATCTAGTCTCTCCCTCTAACCACCCTGGAGTGTCACTTTTTTATAGACCATCTCCCTGCATGGTCATCTCCTGTGTAGCTACAGAGCGATAATCTCCAAACCTGGCATTGCCAGCTCAGTGTCCCAGGACTTGAACCTATGCTACATTTTTGAAGATTTATAAAATAATATTGTTGCAAAAAAAGAAAAAAAAAAGTATTTTTGATCTAAATGTAGGGTCTTCATATCTGTTAGGTTTTACAAATTACCAGTGTTTGTCACCTTTTTTTGTCTAGGAATAAAACTTAAGATTTCAAATAAAATTTTGAACCAAAAACATTTATAATGCAGTTGTGGCTTTTCTATTGCTTTTTATACTGTATATTAAAGACATCAGGCTGAAAGAGTTTATTTTGGTGTCAAAAACTATCCTTCCACTCATGTAACTATTTTAAATGCTAAGAAACAAAATAATGAAAGACATTAATCACTGTATTCAGTAAACAGATTTTTAGAGAATGTTTATCTCAGCCAGAAGGCAGATGTTTGGTGTTCAATAAATAAGTCTTTCATCATTGTAAATCTTTAGATAGTAAAGATATTCTTGTAAATGTTTTTCTGATTGTAATTAATTTTTGCAAGTATAGAAAGCACATTGTTTCTTGTAATTATTTAAGATGCCTGCTTTTTTTTTTAATGCAGTTGTGGAAAGAATGTAAACTCTTTTAATATATTCTTTGTTAATCTGAGAACTTGTTACTGAATGTTTTCTTTATGTGGGGAGGATTGAGTACCTGAAACATGTTTTACCCATTCAGAGTAAGAAATTAAACTAACATATCCTTACATCTCAGGGTTAGCATTTCCAGGTTGTTAAGCAAATTCTCCCTTTAAAACTAGTCCATGCTGGGCATTGGTGGCACAGGCCTCTAATCCCAGCACTCGGGAGGCAGAAGCAGGTGGATTTCTGTGAGTTCAAGGCCAGCCTGGTCTACAGAGCGAGTGCCAGGACAGGCTCCAAAGCAATACAGAGAAACTCTGTCTTGAAAAACTAAAAACAAACAAAACCAAACACACAAACAAAAAACCAACCTAGTTCATACATCTGTGGTTCTGCCAGATGTACAGCTGACCAGGGCTGTGTGTGTTCTGCTTTTCTGTTTCAGAATGTGTCCTTCTCTTTGAAAAGATTGCCTGGTACTCAGTCGCTCACCACCTGAACCTACATGTAGCCCCTGCTGGCGTTAATGAAAGTGGTGACTGAGATGGTAAGATGGGCCCTGTCCTTTGGACAGAGGCCTGAACACCACCTTCCCAGGCCTGGTGGCCGGAAGACAGCGCCTGAAGCTGGCCTGTGTTCCCTGTAGTTGGGCTCTCAAGGATGAGTGTGTGTGTATATGTGAGAGAGAGAGGGAGTGAGAGAGAGAGAGAGAGAGAGAGTCGGTGCATTTCCTTAGTGAGAGAAGTCGGTGCATTTCCTTAGTACAAAATAGCTTTCCTTCAGATTTCTTTATAAATCCTATCCATTAACCATTATAGAATTCCAAAGTCAGTTTGTTAATTTCTAATATCTGATTGGTGGTTTGGGGGTAGTTGTGAAATGCCTTAATGACTCAAATAATGCCAGAGCATACCCTTCTTAAGTGTTCTTTATAAATAGATTTTAATCCAGGTGTGATGTTATGTACCTATTATCACTGTATTCTCTGTTTGGGAAGCTGAGCCCTGGAGTAGCATAGTGAGACTGTCTAAAAACACAAGTCAAAACATTCAAGTAGGTTTTCCTTGTTGTAGCTTAGCACTTTAAGGCATTTAATATTGTCATGAATTTGTTTTTGTTTGTTTGTTTGTTTGTTTGTTTTTGTCTTTAGCATGCTCTTCAATGTCCTCCCTGAGGACTCCAGCTGAGGAGAAAGTCACTGGGAACTTTTCTCTTGGGCTGGGAACTAAATTGGAGTGCAGATTCTAGAAAGAAAGGAAAGTTAGTGTCTAATGTTTTAAAGATTCCTTTCAGAGACAGACTTTGGGGAATCCGAAGTACTTTCATGTAAATCTTTAAAATAATTGGACTCTACATTCTTGGGTCATTTGTGCAAGTGCTGAGTCTCCACATTTGCTGGTTAATATTGATTTTCAGAAGGTGGCCATTTGTAGCTGGCTTTAATAAAAACTTCTCTGAGAGCAGTTTTTCACTAAATTCTGTTTAACTGAACTAAATTCTGTTTAACTGAAAGCAAACAGGTTTTTACAGTTGTGTAAAAAGTTTTGTTGTTACATGCCTTTGCAGAATAGACCACTTGTCTTTTTTTTTTTTTTTTAACCTTTTGGGAACTGGAAATGCATAGTAAGATAGGAATGTAATGATGTTCCATTGCTTATTCTATCCAAGTATGTAGTCTTTCCTTTGTTTAATGGAACCAACAATGGATGGGTCAGTAAATCTGTACTGTGCTCTGCTCTGAGTTGTGACATTGGTATCCTCTGTGCTTTGGTGATATGAAGGGGGATTCTCCTGCTGGGATGATAGGAGCAGGACAGGATAGTTTGGGGAATAGTTGATTTCCTTACTTCCCACCCCTATTCCAAGGTGCCTGTTGAATTAGGTTACTAGAGCTCTCAGTTATGAGACTGGTAGGTAAACATTAAGACGAGATGCATGGGCATCTTTGCATGTCTGCTTTGTGTTGTTCCTGCTCAGAGTCAGTTTGAAACCATGGTTTTCTTTACTTTCACAAGGGTGATCTTGTGTTGGTGAGGAGGATGCATCTGAGACCTGCCTTCATGTTGATAAACTAGTCTCGTTTCCTAATTGTAACTTTTTTTTTTTCTGTGATGCTCCTCCAGCCAAGGATTATAGTCCCACTTTATTTTTGCAAATGCCTGGCTGTGGATATGTCACCAAAGACAGAGAATTGCCAAACTCCTCCACTGATGATGGAGCTACTTCCATCCCCTCCAGCAGGTTTGCTTCCCTTGCCAATGTCTGAAACCAGTCTGATTTGAGTGTGTATAGCTAAATTTCTTCAGCATACTACACTAGGGACCAAGAATGCCATTTGTTAATCTTTTCCCTCCCCTTGCTTACCCAGCTGTTCAACACAGAGCTGAGTTTGAGCTAAAGAATTTGAACATTCCTCTTGGCAGCCATCAGCTTTCTGGGTTTAAATTTATTGGTCTCCTGCCTCGTCCCCAGACCTCATCACATGCAAAATCTCTTAAGTGCCATGCTGTAAAAACCAATGTCCAGTATATCTTGGTTTCTTATGGATATGGGCTAGAGGGTATGGTAGGGCCAGGTGTCAGGTACTACTCATGCAAGGCACTGGAGAGTACATAATGTTTTACAGAATAGCCGCTTCGATTTGGAGACAATATAACTAGCTCTCCACCCTGTCTTCCACAGTGGAGCTGTGTTAGCTCCTTGTCATCATGACAAAACCCTGAAGTGACTTGAAGGAGTAAAGGCTTACTTGTCCCACAGTGTCAGAGGTTGCAGTCTGTGGTGAGCTGCCCCATTGCTTTAGGCCTGTGGCAAGACAGAATGTCATGGTGGAGCGCATTGTAGAGCAGAGCTGCTTACCTAACAGCTAGGCACTGTGGTCCCCTTTGAGGTACAGCTCTGATGACTTACTTCAGCTGGATTTCCCTCCCAAAGACTACACTACCTCCCAGTGGGACCCTGGTTAGTTACCAAGTCTACAGCACACAGCCTTTGGAGGACATTTCAGATAGAAACCATAACAAATCCCTCTATCCATCCACACTAGGGGATCCCAAGCCTACATTTTGTCCAGTTGAGGGTCCTGGACCCTATTTGCTGTGGGTGGCATTGTTTCCTCCAGGAAGAATGTCCAGGCCTCTTTCCACCCATTTTTTTTTTTTTCTGCCAACCCAAAGTAGCTGTTCCTCTTAAATGGCCTCATAAAGCACTGATAGCTACTCACCTCCTGCTACCTTCTGTCCTGTCCGTTTCTGGTCTTCCTCACTAGATGAATCAGGCCCAGGACATGGTATTATATCTTTCAGTATTCCCATGCCTGGCCTAGAATGATGCCTACCAGATATCTGATAAATAAGCAACAAATCTGATTACAGGGAAGGGATAGTCAATTTACCTTCAATATGTTCAGTTACTTTGATGTTCTGAAAAAAAACATATCTTTAAAATATGGAGAATTGTTCCTAAAGGATTTTGTAGTTGTGCATGCTTCTTTCTACCTTAGGGATGTGGCTCTTTGACCCACCTTAGTGCTTTCCCACAAGAGTGAGAGCTATTCCCTGCTACTCTATGTTGGGAAACTGCTCCAAGGCCCAAAAGAGACAACACAGTAATAAAGGGCATCCAGGTTGCTTTTGAGCTGTTTGTGATATGGGTAAGTAGGGTTGCCTTCTGTATGAATCTTCTCCTTACAGGAGTTATTAGGGTCAGAGTGTGGGCCCTGATGGCCCTGAGAAGCCAAACTTAGCAATCTGTCCTCAATAGGCTGCTTACAGGACAAGTAACAGAAAAAAGCAGAGAAAGGAGATGCAGTCAATGTAGCCACTTGACCACAAGTGTCATTGAGGGAGGGGGTTGTACATGAGTTTTAGGCTTAAACAGAGGACAAGGGGCATACATAGCTAAGTAGTCATGGTCAAGGTGTGGTCCTGTCCATCACTAAACTATACTTGTCCCAACTCAAATCACTTCTTCAAGGTGGTCTGACATAGTTGTCAGAACTGTATGAAATCTCTTTACGCTCCAGGTTCCTCCTTAGCCTGGCCCCAGTCTTCAGCCTTTTCCTTCTCTGAGCATAAGATTCCTACAGAAATTCTAATTCCTTAGGAATCATTGTTTCCATAGTCTGACAGCCAAAGTGAGGGCATAGTGTGTGTCTCTTTGAATATCTTCATTTCTGTAAGGATAGTTACACTTTGAAGATGCAAAAAGAATGTCACAGACACAGAAGTGAACATTTGTCAGTTGCCCTCCATCTTCTGGCACCCATTAATTAGTCTAGGTCTACTCCCAGGGATAATGTATGTCACTTCAAGACCCGTGAATGCTGCACAACATAGCACCAGCTTCCACCAGAGTCAGTAAAGAAACCTAAGCAGGAGTCAACCCATGGTGCAACTGAGACAGAGTAGTGTCAGGGCCCATTTGGGCACAGGCTATGCCAGAATGAGGCTGAGTCACAAGGTAGGTCAGAACACCAGCATGTGGCCTCAGTCATGTTAACCCTAGGCACATTGCAGCTCTTTTCAGGTGTGACCCAGAACATGGACTGCACACCTGGTATTCAGTAGGCTATGGCCTCTAGAATGGTGAATGAAGAATGAACAGGAGCAAGTAGCCTTGTTTTCTTTGTGCATTCAGTGACCTGCTTGGTATCTGAGGAAGGATACACAGCTGAGCACTCAGAATCAGGCATACTTGTGGGCAGGATGAAACTGTGCACCAAGCACAGGACCATCTGTGGGGAGCCAGCCTTTAGAATGCAGGCTCAGGATCAGTCTCCCTCACTAATTTCTCTTCCACATCTTTGACACTTCCTCTACCATCAGTATCCATCAAGATGATGAAGACTTTGAAGACACCCAGATGCTTATCACCTTTGCAGATAAAATCAAAATTGAAGCTGGATGAATGATAAAGCCTTCTTTGAAGATAACACAATCAAAGAACAATGGAGAGACAGGAAAGAGGAAGACTTTAGAACACATACCAGTGGGAAGTGGGAGGTTAGCAGGGATCCCAGAATCCTTGCCT